CGTATCTGGTTTAGGCCCCCAGTACACCGAGTACCATGCTGGCACAGATGCTGAACAGCATTTTGTTTGCTGCCCAAAGTCTTACTCCTTTTGCCTTTGGAATCTGGGGTTTCGAGCTTCAGGCATGAGAACACAAAGCAGGCAGGTTCAGCACATCCTGCTGCCTGTAGGTGTCGGTAAACGCCGATCCAGCCATACAGGTTCTGCCGCCCGTGATTGAAAACAAATGTACCAGCAGCTAGAGCGCATTCCTGCTCCACACCATAGCTGTCAGTTGCTCAGGGCAGCGCTGAAAGTCTAGCTAATCCGAGACTGTGATCGCTCAAATAAAGGTTCTGAAATAGTTTATTTTTATGGCAGTACATAAGTACGAGCTGTCTGTAAATTGGACGTTCTTAACTCAGGAACTGCTTGTAACTATGTGGTTAATTAAAGACAACATAGCAGACATCCCACCTTAGGGATACTGATTTCAGGGAAGCAGATGAGGGCCATCCGGGAGGGTGGGGGCACTGGTCAGGGCTTGGCTGGTATTATGATAATACTGTATGTATACTGCCAACTGGGGTGGGGGCCGGTGGGCGGCCAAAATCTCCTGACCGCGGCTAGTGGGTGGCTGTTAAATTTGGGGTGAGTTTGCAGCAGTAAAATTTCTTGCCAGCTAATTTCACCACCAGCGAATGTCACTGAACGTCAGATATCCGTCACATTGCGCATCATTTGCAGGAGACTCCTGGAAGTTACGGAACAGGTGGGATGTCTGATATAGGATCCTGTATTGCAAGTTTTCATTGGCCTTACCTCCATCTGATCCTGATCCACCTCCATCTGTTCCTCATCTGCCGGGGGACTTAATTCTGCCATGTTATCTTGCAGCTTCTTTACCACTTCGCCTGGGCCTATCACATCAGACTGATAACCTGCTAACACAGTGTTACAACAGCAAACACAGTGACAATACGCATAAACTCGAGTGATTTCGACAAAATCCGGCAATTAATCTAAATATTATAAACACTGATGTTCTCCAGACAGACATTAAATCCATTTTTAATAAATATTAAAAACATATTTGTAGATGGGAAAATCACATTTGTTTTACTTTCGAATTAGCAAGAATGCAAGCTGCAAGTTTCATGCGCAATATAATTCACATATTTCTCAAACAAAACAGACATATTTCGTGACCAAAGAAAACAGAACATATAAGAAACGGATGTCCACCTACACCTGTATATTAATGCTACAGTAGTGAAGTATAGGTATACACATGCGATTTGACGATACACAACTACGCTGTTGCCTACTCAATCCGTATTTACAATATCTTACCTGACCTTAAGAATTTTTTTTAAACCTAAACGAAGTTTTTAAAGTTACCAGTATAAGTTATATTTGTCTTTCCCGTTTGCTTTCAAAATAAACAAACTGAAGTAGTGCCAGGCAGCGACTTACGCAGCGAACGAACAGAAACGAAACTGAAAGCAGTTCCAGCTGAAAAAATGGACGCGTCCTAAAGGAGAAACAACTTTGTCAGACGTTACATAAATCAGGGTTAAAACCTTAATACAGAAACAGATGTGATAAAGGCTCTTCCTGTTTCTTTTCCGGTAACAGACTTTTAGAACTATGTCATTTATGATTCATATTACTATGGGGTTGTAACAACCTTTTCCGTATCCCCAACCCTGACTTCCAAACCAGATATTTTTGCCGAGTGTCAGTTACATTTGTTTAACGTGACATGAGTTATACGGCTAACAGCCCATAATGTCCCATAATGCATTTCATCGTTTTGTTCCCCCCCACCATTTTGCGACTATAGGAAACAATAAAAGAGTATTCTACACTACAGTAACCTACGACACGCGTTTTAAAAACTGCGCCACTGCAGTTTTGAATGCGATCACTTAAAATTCAGGTTGGAAGGTGCCAGCGCCGATGGCTCCAAAAACGAAATATTACATCATATTTGATGAGAAACAGAATATTTAATATAAACTATAATATTTAATTGCAATTACAATAATGACAGTCCTCTTCGTATTTTTTGAGTCACTGCCTGCTGGCACCTTTCAGCTGCAAAAAATACGAAGAGGACTGTCATTATTGTAATTGCAATTAAATATTATAGTTTATATTAAATATTCTGTTTCTCATCTCTGGTCTTGGAAGCACATCTGAGTTACCAATTTTCATTATACTTTACGGGATTGACACTACATACGCCTTTATATGATCTATCACTATTTACTCTTGGATCTCCAAGAACAGATCAACGGAATGTATATATTATATTCAGTGGTGGCAATTTCAGGTCCAGAAAGTAAAAATCCAGACCAAGATTTACTTTCAACCAACCAGTTGAGTATAAAGAGTCACAGTCACAGAGTACTCAACTGGTTGGTTGAAACTAAATCTTGGTCTGGATTTGTACTTTCTGGACCTGAAATTTATATCTCTGATTATATTGATCTATTTTGATGCAATAAACAGCATATGGCCCTTAAGTGCTCGGACAGACCGCACATGAAGGAACTATACTACACAATCGAATTTATTGTAAGTTTAACACGTTTAAACTACCGTTCAGTACACAGATAAACAGTCGTAATTATCAGAAACAATTGTAGTAACAGTGGAAAAAACTGAAGCCTGACACAGAGGAGACGGTGCCAACAGTGTTTATTTTATGAAGTAATGCAGCCTTTCTGTGCGCATACATGTTTAAAATCTGCTTGCCAGTTGCAATGAATTAGCAATAAAGCTGAATTCAGGGTAACTTCAAACCCTGATTCTGTTGTCTAGCTTGCTTCTACGTAAACCCATACAGACACATAGAATTACAGTAAATGAGAAGTGTTTAAAACAACAAATGAAACATACTGGACAGAGCTAACATCACAGTGCTTCACAAAGGCAATAAACAACAAAACTTATAAAATACTTCCGACTGTATAATTTTAACCATTATAAAATGCATTCAATACTCAAGGTATAAAGAAACAGAAAAATAACATAAAAATGAAACGATAAAACAAAGTTTCTGTAAATCAACAGCAACAGAAGAGTAATATGCTGAAAAAAATAAAAAAACTACTTTAAAATACGGAAACTCGGATTGAGATTGATCTGAACTTTGGTCTGATTTTTATGGCAAAGAAGACTGATTGTGCACCTCAAAGCCACAATTCCTGTCCTATCAGGAGAAGTCCTGAGGACAAACGGTGTAAACATGCAGCATTTAGATCAAAGCAGTACATTTTGATAGTCAACTGTAACAGACAAGATATCGAAGTCACCCTTCAAAGTAAGCCTGTTTGTATGTAGCAAAACATAAATCAATGCATTTCTTTGCTTATCATATAAAAATACCTACATCCAGCAATACGTCTGCTGAATGAAACTAATTCCATCGATTAATACAGATTTTACTAAGAACAGTTAAGGCAAGTGATGATCAGACATCACACATACAGCCTGGACCCAACCTCATACTGGTACACGAACATAACACCACTTTCCCTTCATTGTTCCCATTCTGTGTCTTCTCATACTCACTTAAACTATCTTTGCATTTATTGATTACATACATCTTCCATTCTTCTCCATTCTGAAGGTTCCCCTCCTCTTCTGTAGTTGGTCCCACCATGGGAGAAGGGACTCACCGGTCTCACTTAAGTCTGACCCACTTTAGGAGCAGACATGTTGGCTTTCTGTGTGGACTCTTCATGGCCTCCTGATATATATGCTTCGCACAAAATTCTCATGAATATTAATCCTACCACAGATGCAAAAAAACTTAACTGGGGAGAGGTACACAAATATACATTCAATTGGAAAGCATGTCTGTAAAGTGATTGTGATGGGCAGGAGGTGTGTTGCTGTTGGTAGAGACCATTGCATTATGGTTATGGGCTAACACTTCAGCAAACATCAGCGATACTTTAGCGGTCAGCCTTGGCTTTACGTGCATGGAATGGACACCAGCTGTGAGTAGGATGTACGGAGCAGTAGACTAACTTTCTTCTTTCAAATCAAACCTGAAAATAACAGAAATTACAGTTCAAAGCCATGCGACAGTTAATGCCATAAAAACATTATTGGAATGATTGATATCATTATGGATATTAATGATATCCAAGAACAATCTACTTCACATTCACTGATTTCCCTCATTGACAGTTTTAAATGTATTATTGTAGAAGAACCAGGTTTAACAGTTGCTGGATTTAAACAAAGTCTGATCTTTTGTTCAAACTCCACTGTTATACACTGACACATTACCAAAGTGATACAATTCACCAGTGCGCTTTTAGGCTTTAAAATCACATTTGCCATTTAGCATATTCTTTCCGGCACAATACGCTGTCTCACTGAGGGTATATCATTTCCTTTGAAAACACACTGATTTGTGACTCAATGTGACTTACCACTGTGTGACCCCCGAGGCAAGGTCAATAGAGGACAGGTCTATCTGTACCTAGAAAAGTCAAGCAAAGATAAGCTGTCACAGGGATGTGCTAACAGTCACAGGGCCAGCAGGTGGCAGGAATGTAACTGCAGCTCATTTAGATGATGCCTTTCACTTTACTGCCTGCAGCATTAAACATAATATTTTTTCAGTATTTTAATTTGTTCTCTGATGTTTACATAGAGGGTATGTGAACATGGTTTGGTCAAAAAATGCCCAGAAGTGGTTTTACAGGCCAATTTCCAACCTTATTATTTGGCTCTAGAATAAAACAGACTGTTTTCCCTTTTTTGTTCAGTTCATTAATATGTTGATGTGCTCTGCTCTGATTGGCTGAATCCCAGTTAACCACAGTGATGACTCACACAGAACTAACATCTCTAGTCACGTACCATATGATAATGTTTCCATCTACAATGCACCGCATATACAACAGTGGTCCCATAAGATTATAACAGAGCTAAAAAAATTCCTCTCGCCTAGTGAAGTCATAGTGCAACACATTACTCACATTTTTGTGGTGATGGTGATGTGAACAAATGCTTGTGCTGCCCGTTGTGTAAAAGTATAGCAAATACAATTATGTACAGTACATAGTACTTGATAGTAATTATAACTGTTATTGGTTTATGCATTTATTGCACCGTACTTTTTATCGTCATTTTACAGTGTACTCTTTCTAGGTTTGTGTAAGTATATTCTATGATGTTCATACCGACAAAATCGGCAAGCAACGCATTTTTCAGAATATATCCACATGGTTAAGTGACGCATAACTGTAAATTGATCACTACAGGTGCGATGAAACATGGAGCATTTAGGCATCCAACCCTATGTGTTTGAGCCTGTATCAGAAACGGAATTAGATGTTGAGGAACAGCCACTTCCCCGGAGACTGGAAATGAACGCTGCTAAGTGGTAAGTTTTGTGATTTAGTGCTTCCTGGAGCAGGCTGTGCAGGTCCACTGGGTTTCAAAGTGGGCTGGTGTGTGTTATGTTTAGGGGTGTAGTTAAGACTGGTACGCAACAGTCTAGGATTACTGAATCAGCCCATTTTAACACCTCCTTTTACATTTGCAGGATTTATATTTGAAAGTGGGAAGAACAATGCTTGAGATTCACGATACGTCAGTTCCATGTACTGAACGCTCCTTATTGAACTATGTTGAAATAAAGTCAGATTTTCATTCTATGGCACCTTTAATTAAAAGTGAAAGTAAACTTGACATGGGAATTCCTTGTTATATGATGTGAAGAGATCTTCCACATCTACATTTATTTCTTTTAAATAAGACTATCCAGGAAGCTCAATGATAAAAGAATCGTGATTTTAACACAATGATGAGATACCAAAATGAGTAGAGTAACAGAAGACTGACCTTGCCAATCACCTCTTTCTCACGACTCATGAAGGATGTGCTGTTTTTCACAGTCAAATCCAACTGCTTTTGTCGAGCTTCATCCATAGAAATATTAAAATCAAACCTGGATATTGGAAAAGCACAGAGCAGGAGTTAGATAGTTAACACTCTCCCTCAGCTTTCATCAGGTCTTGGAACGGGTGACTGACCTCTCGTTGAACTCAGGGTTGGCGTCTTTCTTCTTGATGCCGGTTTTCCTTTTGGTGACCTTGTTCTTGTCTGGCAGCAGGATGAAGGACACGTAGGGGTCTGAGGAACCTGTCAGATGCCTGGATGCAGATTCAGAGAATCATTCAAGTAGAGGCAGATTACACCGGTATACAGAACACTCAATCACCCACAAACACAATGACATCCCATGAAGAGTGCAGACCTTGACTCAGACAGACCTGCAAGCATGAACTGTGATGAGCAACTTTTTGTCATCCTTGGGGTAAGAGAAGGACAGCTTGACCTGCCCGCTGTGTCCAGGGGCATCGGACGGCATGCTGTCGGAGACTGTCGGCAGGCCTCTATCACCAGCCTGCACTTTCTTTGGCTCCAGAATCTGATGAAGAACACAGTGGATCCAGCTAAGAATGGACACCGGCATTGACATCCAAGGCTAGAGCAGCCAGAAGAACCCAGTACACTGACCAGGAGTCTGTTAGCGCCCTACAGAGAGTGGAAACGTGCTGTTTGCTATACGAGATTCTACATCAACAGGAAGGATCAATTGCACCTTAAGTTAAAGCATCTGCCTTCTGATACCTTGTTACCTTTTTAAGGTACTTTTCCATGTTTTGTGATATTTTTCCAGCATGACAATGTCACAGAATAGTAAAGTTACCTAAAGATTTATGTATACAAGCACTAATTACTAAGTGTTCTTTTTATGTAAGTCTTACTGAGCATTAATCATCAATGACTGATTCAGTCCCATGATTAATTTAAACAGGAGGTGATGGCACTGCTGTGAGTTTCACCTTGAGCTCAGCCCTCATCAGTATCTGACTCTCAGCAGGAACTCCATCCAGACTCAGCCAGCGGTCCAGTACCAGGCCTGGTTCTGAAAGCAGCTCTCTGACAGGTAGAACCAGCGAGCCAGTGGGCTGATCCCCAGTGTGGTACAGCTGTAACACAGAGCAAGGTGCACACCTATCATCATTGAGTATTTTAACTCTTTACTTAACCTGTCTACAAACAATACAGCACACCTAAGCTGATTTCTGACAACAAAAGAACTTTACTCTAAAGAAATGCAAACAGATGAGTGCTGTTTAACATTCAGCTCACCTTCAAGATCAGGGTGTCCTTTTTCGGGTCATGGAGCAGGAAGTAAAATCCTTCACCCCAGTGTGGTGAAGTGGACCGATCGCACACCTTCACAATAAAGAATGCAGAGGTATGAGACCTTCATAAACCCAGCCAGTCAACTCAGTTTCCTTATTAGCTGATACCTCTAAGGATTAGTCCATATTTTTGTCACTTAACACACTAGGGCGGGTCTTACCTTCGTTTTGTAGGACGTTGCTCCGAGGTCCAGCTCTGCCCCCACCTTAGGCTCCTTCCCACTCTTCTTCAGCTGAGGTTTAGGTGTTAAAAATGGGTTTTGGTGGGTAACAAAAAGACCTTCTGAGAAGTCAGGAACCAGCGGAGGGAAGGTGTACTTACCGGCAGGCCGTGGGCGCGGTCTATGTACACAAAGAGCAGAGCAGCTGAGGGTACAGACTTGTTCTGGTACGACTGCTGGGCCTGGAACCTCAGCACCTACAAATTCACATCATTAAGACACACTGTATACAAACTGCAGGTATTTGCTACAGCTGCTACAGAAGCATGGGTAGGATCACTGGCCAGGGAATCAGACTGACCTGATCCAGTCTGACAGGGTCTGACACAGTGGAAACCCACTCCAGAACCAGGTGGATACGGCCCGACTTCACGTCAGTCAGCGTGTACCACTGTCACGGGACCATGCACAACATTGTGAAATGGTTAACACACACACACACACACACACACAGGTTTGTAATTTCGAGACTTTTAGCATTTTTACTTTTTTGATAGCATTCACAGATCTTTGTGGGGACCTGAAAAATGGTCCCCACAACGTAAAAAAACAGGTTTGTATTACATTGTGGGGGACATGTGGTCCCCACAATGTAATATAAACCTAATCACACACACACATTAAATAAACAAGGTTCACAGTGACACTAAAGCAGACCTCACCTTATCAATGTAGCGGGAGCTGATGATGTCACTCAGACTGACCTTTAACCTGCAAACACAGGTTAACAGTATATAAATATGAAAAAGGCAGACAATTTCATTGCTCTGTGGTGTCAGTCAGGTGTTAATAACAATATATCAAACTTTAAGACTACTACAATATACTGTATTTATATTATATTAATGACATGTTTGGTATACTGTTATTCTAGATTCATTGTAATGTCATCTGTGCACTATATTTATTATGTTATACTTCCATCTAAAATAGGATTGAAAAGCAGCAATCTCACCTCCCCAGGAAGTCATCTGAATCCAGGTCCTTGTCAAAAAGCTCAAACTGGATCTCCTGTCCTGGTGCTTTGGTCAGGACCACCTGCGTAAAAGAATTTTAACATTCACAAGGCTGGAGACTGTTGCTTAACCAATAACGTTCAAAAATGTTTCTCATTATTTTAACCACAAGGGGGCAGCAATGCAATTGCAAAAAAACTGACAACTAACAGAAGAATAATAAACGTTATTGACACTAAGATCGGAAATTTGTCTTTTCAATAAATCAGAAGAAATGTCTTTAGAGCATTGCTAGTTAATCAGTCAATTTAAATTCAATGTGAAATTATTCCCCAATATCCTGAACCCCAAAGCAGAAAATTGTGTAATACCTCATACAACTCATTCCAGGTTGGGTTGAGGTTCTCCTTGATCACATGACTACGGAACTTGATATTCCCAACACAGATCTTGACATAAGGGTCACTCTTCCCCCCAGCCATGAAACCGTCCATGGCTATTAAATTCTGGGCCTCCACCAGGTGAATACGTAGCAATCCCTAGAGAATACAAAGTATTTTTACTTAATCATTATGCAAATGCGTACAGTGTCCGCTTTATTAGGTACAGCTAATTAATACTGGGTAAGACCCCCTTTGCCTCCCCAATGACTTGAATTCCTTACAACATGGATTCAAATCTGCGTACAGATTACTCCTAGGGATTTTGGCCCATGTTGACTCAATGTGGAGGCCTAATGGTGAGGGAACCGCACTTGTAATTGAAAGATTGCTGGTTTGAATCCCTGACCTGCAAGGTACCGCCCCCAAGCACTGCTCCCTGGGTGCTGAATTAGCTGCCCCCTGCTAGGTCACGATGTCACATATGGGTTAAATGCAGAGGACACATTTCGTTGTTGTGTGCTGTGGTGTGTCAACAATGACCAATGATCACCAAAATATGTTGTTGACACGCTTATTGGAGTCACTGTCATGTTTGTGGAATCACTCTGGGATGATGCATACTTTGTGACGTGGCACATTATTCTACTGGAAGTTGCCACAGGAACATGGATAAATTGTAGCCATAATCCAACTTGGTCTTCTGCTAGTGTAACTCGTCCACATCAGCATGATTTGCTGGTTGACTGCTTGTATGAACGGACATGGTGCATGACTTGTTGAACACAACTGAAGAACAGTGATAGGCTCCAGACACCCAGAGAAGACTGATCAATAGGTGGATGGATGCAGACAGGGTTGTTGACTCACCTCTGTAGCAAAGCTGGGGTCAGGAGATGTCCGACTGGGCTTAGTGGACACTGGGCTGGGAACAATGGAGACTTCCTGAGGTTCTACCTTGGCTGGAGCTCCTTCCTTGATCTTCTCAGGTGTGGGAGACACTGGTGCCCTAGCAGGGTGTGGCCCCTCATCCCTAAGTGTAACAGGGACAAAGACAGGCACCAGCC